ACTTTTAGGTCAATTTAGCCCTTGAACTTGTATAAAATGATTAAAAAGATTCAATTTCACTTTTTTGGTCAATTTAACCTTTGAATTTGTTTTGATTTTTACAGATTAATAATTGATGTAATTTAACATGCTTGACTTTTTATCCCTTTTTGTCCTACACTAAAACACCCCATATCAAACTTTTCCAACACTTATGAATATAAATTTAAAGTCCATAAAAACAACATTTCTTGTAATATAATAAATTTATAAATTTTCATTATAACTTTAATTTATTCAAACACTTATGAATATAAATTTTAAAGTCAATAAAAACCACGAATTTCTTGTTAATATCATAAATTTATAATTTTCATTATAACTTTAACTTTTATTGCATCAAGCATGAAAAAATCACATAGAATTTTTTAATAAAGCGACATAATAACCTAATAGAGGTTAATTTTTTAAATATTCATATTAAGACATCTTTATAATGAAAGCTCAAAACCATGACGATTAATATGGTAAAGAGGGATATCGTATGATCTTCATATATATTATTTTTTTCTAATTTTTTAATATAATGTTAATTTTGTTAAATATATATTCATCATGTCTTTCTCTGAGTTCCCAAACTAAGTTTTTAATAAATGTTGTATATTTATTGATTATTAATGATTTTTTGCTGATATTATAAATTATATTTTTTATAAGATTGAAATTTGGTTGAATAATACTACAACATTTCTTGTAATATAATAAATTTATAAATTTTCATTATAACTTTAATTTATTCAACATGAAAAATACATAGATTTTATAAGCGATAATTAAATAATAGAGGTTAATTTTTAAATATTCAAATTAATACATCTTTATAAACTCAAAACCATCGATCAAGGTAAAGAGGGATACAATATACTTCATATATCATTTTTCTATTTTTTATAATTAATTAATTTTTTAATAAATTAATCAGCTCGATCCCAACTAAGTTTTAATAAATGTGTATATAATGATTTTTTGCTGATATAAATTATATTTTTAAATTGAAATTTGTTGAAAATACAAATTTAATTCCTGACTGCCAGGAAGGCCAAAAATTTTTACGTTGTCTCAAATGGATTAAAAAAAAAAAAAAAAAGAAGAAGAAATTGGAATTTTACTAAGTGCTAACCCAGCAAAATACACTACGTGAGATTCTTGGAGTTTTTCTAATAATGGATTTTTAGTGTTTTTTATTAAAAAATTATGCAATAGTTAAAAATACATTAAATGTTGGGATTTTTAAAAAATTAAGCCAAATAATAAATAGCAGGAAGAAACAATTGCTAGTGGATTTTTCATCAGAAATAAATCTGAAATTTTCTATTATTAAATTATGATCAGATAAAATTTCTAGTTTTATTTAAAAAAAAAAAAAAGAAGTGAGCTTAATTTATTACTATCTACACTCCTAACTACTTGTCACACTTAAGAAATTACTATGTTCTAAAATACTAGTCACATTTGTAATCTCAAGAAATAATTAATTTTTTTCTATGTGTACCCTTTCTATATGACCAACAATTATTACTTCAATTCCTTAAAAATTTTAGTGTTTGAATATATTAAAATAAGGTAATATAGTTAATTTACTCAATATGTTATTACTCCCTCTATTCTCTTTATGTGGAGATAATTGAATTTGCACACGGATTAAGATAGTAGTTTAACTAATTAGTTTTCTTAATTTATGCTTATTTTACCCCCCTAAATAATATTAAATGGGCTCTTTAATTAATAGAGAGCTAACTCAAGCAGATAGACTCTCGAAGAATCATTAGTTATATGATTTCAGCCGAAAATGAAGGAAATTGTGAGCAAGTGGCATTAATTTAAAACTTTCCAAAATTTTCCAAATTAACATTCCACGTTTGAAATTTTGAATTTCCCTCATTTTCTAAGTTTCGAGCAATTTCAATCGAATGCGTGCAGATATAACGAAAATATGGATCCAAAATTTTTTTTTCCTCTAACTGTGTCCTCCACTTCTACAATATGCACTTATATAAATTTGGAGCATAACATGAACATGTAATTACATTCATAAACTTTTCAAACTAAGGGCACAAGAAAGAGGGGAACATTATTTCTTGCATCATGAATAATCCATTTTCATTCTATCTCAATGAAGTCCCAACAAATTCGCCAACACATTGTCACGATATGTACGCAACTTTCCATCTACCAGATTTAAACTCCTTACCTGATGTAGAAGAAAGCAATGTGGTGGTTCCTTAAATGAGTCATACCATTTTTTTTTTTAATTTTGTACAGCTTATTTAGAATATGAGCACGAAATTTCCATCAGTGCGCCATTAAATTATATTACGTAATTCGGAGTTAACGAAATTCATGCACATACAAGGTGTAATATCGAAATAAAATGCTTTTTTAAAACTATAGTGCAACCATCCAATTGTGTGTCCATATTTTAAATAATTTCACAAATAGTCACTCATGTTCGTGCTTACACCCATAAATTCGAGCACTTTGTTAAAATACATATCGAAAAATAGCCATCCAGTCAGATTTTGAAATGTAAGTGCATTAATTACCTTTCATTTTTTGTCTGCCACTTTCCTCGTTCAAAGCACAATCTGCACATGGATTACACAACTAATATGAGCGCATTTTGGACCTTTTTATTTGGTATCATTCCCAAAGTTTCAATTTTGAGTAAAGTTTTCTATTCACTTTACTAGTATTCACTTAGACAAATTTAATAGTATTCACTTATTTGGACTATTTACAAATCATTGTATTTAACTAATATCATATGAAAAAAGTTTTTCCTTTTTTTAATCTAATGAAATCTTATTAAAAAAAAATATACACTATAAAGTTTGAATTAATGAAAAATGGATGTTTGGACACATTTGCTATCATTCTCATTTTCATTTTTTCTATATTAAAGATGAAATGATGAAAAAAATTCAAGAACACTCTTTTTATTCAATATTTTATTATATTTTTTTGGAATTTGTGGAATTTTATTTAATATTTTATGATTTAATTGGATGTATTTTTTAAAAATTTAATTTTAAAATAGATATAAAAATAATTAGACATTTGAATTTTTAATTTTTTAAAATATTTTTAAATAAATATATAGGCCTTTGAAATTTTTGAATTTAATTTCACATATATCTATCTATAAACTTGAGAGATGATCTTTCATTACCAATATTATTATTTACGCATTGATTTTAAGTTACATAATAACATTTATTTATGTCATTTTGAAGTTTTTTTTTCACAAAGAAAAAATCTTAAAACAATCGGAATAAAAGTAGTTGTATGTTAAATATAAAATTAAATATTGCAAAATTTTTAGGTACCTTTAAATATATTTTTAATTTAACAAGTAACAATAGTCTTTTCTTCAACGAGTTTGATTTTTTATCATTATTTTTGAAATAGTAGTCCTTTTATTTATTTATTTTTTTTTTGTATTTTATAAAGTATATTAATTAAAAGGGAGGAACAATACTTTATATAGTTAATTTTAAATGAGAAAAATACATATTATTTTGTTTTAAATCAAAATAAATAGTAATGAATTTATTTAAATAAATATTTATACCCACAACCAATGCCCAAATTTACGAATAGAATATTAGATATTCCATTTAAAATATGTATTTGAAATAAAATAAAACTCAAAAGCAAATTGATATTCCATTTAAAATATGTATTTGAAATAAAATAAAACTCAAAAGCAAATTTAAATCAAAGAGATCAAAGCTCCTAAGCATTTATACTTCATTGACACAAGTTGGATAACTTAAAAATAATAATAAAAAAAAATAAAAAACAGCACAAACCTAATTTGGATAATGATTATTAATATAATATTTTTCAATTATAGAGGACCAGTACTTTAAAAAGAATATAATAATACGTGTTATTTTTTTAGAGTTTAAAAAAAAGAAAAATATTGTTTTAAAGTGAGAAGTAGAAATATTATTTTCTTTCCAATTAGATGTTAGAACGCAAGACATGTAACAAAAAAAGTGTTCATTGTACAAATAAAGTGCAATATACATTAATTATAATATTTATTTTAATCTAAATAAGAATTTATACTTTAATATTATATATATAAAAATTAAACGAGTTAAAATGAGTATAGAACGAGTAAAGTTAATGTGCAACGCACGTCATAAAAGAACTAGTACGGTAAAACAACCATCGAGAGGAGTATCAAAATACACCAAAAAAAAAAAAAGAAGTCACAATTCTTTAATAATATTTTGCACCTTTTTTAGAGTACTAACATTTTACATTTGAATATTTAACTTTTATTTGAAAAAAAAAATTTATTTAATTTTATATCTAATTATTTCAAGAATGAACTTGTAAATGTGATTCTTAACGGTATTTGGGCTTCAACTAAAAACAACAGCCAAAAAGTGGTAGTCCCTCCTTTCTTGTTATATATGAAAACTTTCTACTTTTGGTATTTTCTTTATATAGAGAATTTTAACCGAAAACAATGTCAATATGAAAAGTCTATATCAATGTAGTGACAGACAAAATGTATAAATAGACATTTAATACGAAGAAATTTTAGAGAGGAAGTTGTTTTTACATCAATTTTCGCTGAAAAAAAAAAAAAGGCTTGTATAAGCTATATGAGCACTAATTAAAATGGATTTTACGTAGTGATTGACCACAAAATTTTTAAGTTGATCACATTGAAAAGATTCTTTACATACTTCGTCTGAACATTTTCAATAACCAAAGGCGTCATAAAGTTAAATGAGTACAAATTTTCATATTTTCACACAAATTTTCCAAACAATGACAAAAATTTCCTCCGAAGATCAGAGTATAAACTTCATTTTTTTCACCCGTTTATATTCCTTTCATTGCCTTAGGATTGGAACGTAATATAAAATATGCATTGATATTAAATGAGAAATTAATGAAACATTAGAGATAAATGAAGAAAAAAACAAAGCAAAAAAAAATTGGTTAAATTATTTTCTTAATCTTTGTGAAATTTTAGATATTCCTAAATAAAAAGAAGGGAGGGAGTAATATATTAGCCATTGACTCTCAAATATAGAGCCAGATTCAATCTATAGACAACGTTTTCTAAAGCCATCTTCCCTTAGAATATCCACAAATCCCACATTCTAAGTTATGCATTTGTGGAATTTACAATCAGTAATCATCTGCATATGATCTTTCCCAGCAATTACATACCATCCATATTTCCTTAGCTTCGTGGACAGAATATGCAGTAAAAGTTGGTAGGAGAAAACCAAAAGACCAACAAGGAAGAGATCAGAGCTGCTTCTTACTATGGATGTGACCGTGCATGCTCAGGCTTGTGTGTGTACTCATAATCAAGATGAACGAAAGCGCGCTCAATCTCTGGCAGCAGCTCAAGCTTTTCCTGCAAGGATTCTCCGATGTCATGCGCCTCTTGCAAGGGCATGCTAGCAGGCAGGACAATGTCGACCTCAACAAAATAGTGAGACCCAAATGTGTAGGCCCGGACTGTATCGATGTGTCTAACTGCCTTGTGATGATTCCAACACAGGTATGTTAGTTTTTTCAGATAATCTGGATTAGCCGATTTTCCAACAAGGGAATTAACATTTTCCAACACTGTCATTGACCATGTGCGAATGGTGTATAAGGCCAGCTGCAACAAATATCCATTCTCAAGTTTTAAGTATGTGCAATTTGTGAATTGAAACAGAAGCTCTTTTAATACTACTGATTGAAGAATAAGTACTCTATACACCAATATATCTCGATGGTTCAGCTTCATCTCATGGATCAAAAAAAAAAAAAAAAAAAAAAAGTGTTTTTTCAGAAGTCTGGATTAGCCGATTTTCCAACAAAGGGAATTAACATTTTCCAACACTGTCATTGACCATGTGCGAATGGTGTATGAAGGCCAGCTGCAACAATATCCATTCCCTCAATGTTTTTAAGTATGTGCAATTTGTGAATTGATAAACAGACAGGCTCTTTTTTAATACTACTTGATTGAAAGAATAAGTACTTACTACTACCCAATATACTCTCGATGGTTCAGCTTCATACTCAATGGATTTCAAACAAAAAAAAAATAATAAAAGCTCATAACAAATGATTCTTAGGCTGGGTACAAGAGAGAGCAAGCATGCTCATAACCCTTTCACTTGTTCAATAATTTACATAGGAGTTCCATGGCACACATCTTAAAAAAAAAAAAAAAAAAAAAAAGCATAAAAAGATTCTTAGGACTGAAAGAGAGCAGCATGCTCATTTTCACTTGTTCATAATTTCATAGGAGTCCATGGCACATTTAGTAATTTTAACAATTGAACACTATGTAGCAGATTCTTACCACCATTTAAAACCAACTACTGGAATTTCATCAACAAGGAGAGCTATAGTATACTAATGCAACCATATTATTCCCTTCTCTAGTATCTAATTCATGTATTTACATACCATGAATTGATAAAACAATAACAAGAGGATGAGCAGGTGTTTACTTACAATTATAGCTCCAACAGGGTCCATCCAATCTTCCAGGTAATTAGCAAGAAGTGCAGCAATAAGACCAATTATATTTGTAACGACATCAAAAAAATGATCCTGGGCATAAGCTTTAACAATCTCATTAGTAAACGAGCGGCAATAAACCATCAGCAAAAGTTTTACCAAAGTCACCGAAAGCATAATTCCCACAACCCAACGCTCTTGCTCTTTATTCAATTCAAATTCATTATCCTGAAAAGAATATTAGAAGAAACATGAGACACTTATATCCTTTCAAGTACATCTTGAAGTTTTATCTATTTTTGTTATCTGTCTCACTAATGAGCATCTGTGACATTCATCAATGGAAAAGAGACTCGTACAGACTAGAAATTTAATCTGGTTCCGCTTACATCAGATAACAATGTGCGCATCGATTCCAAAATTATCTGCAGTCCCAAAGTTGCCATGACAGAAGCAAAAACAAGAATTCCCTGTGTATAATTTACAGGTCATGGATTTGAAAATTAGAAGGCATTTAACAAATATATAAAGGTAGGAAGCATCAAATAGACATAATATGCATAGCTGTAGTTTCAAAAAGTAGATTTACATATTTTTACATTAAAATCAGACATGCTTGCTATTATTTGTGGGGATATATGGTTTATATGTACAGATATACATAGATTTATAATCTGGTGAAGACCAGAATTTAATAAGTCTTCCCCATAAGCATTCCAAACTTAAAACATGAGACCTATTCCAAAATCTTAATACTAACAAAAGATAAATTATCTGAACTTAAATTAAATCAGGAATAAGTATCAAATATTTATGATGAAAATTAAGCTGAAAAACAGAAACAAAATTAGTTGCAGAAAATAGAAATAAGAAAGAGCAGCACAGAAAAAGCAGATAGAAGCGCAAATTGGAATCTAGGATCACACTGGAAGAAGCGTTCATTAAATCAGAAAATTATGGGGTCACTTCAAATGCTTTGTTGTTTTTCTGTTTTTTTTTTTTTTTTTTTTTTTGTTTTTTTTTTTTTTTTTTTTTCTTTCCTTTTGGGTGGGCGGGCATTTACGACATTTTTTTTTTTTTTTTTTTTTCTTTCCTTTTGGGTGGGGGGCATTTACGACATGGCAGAATTCTCATATAAAGTGACAATGCTGCATTGGTTTTGCACTTTACAGTTATTAGACAATCCACTGAAACATACTTTACATTTTCTTATGATGTTGCTCTGGGTTGTTGAGTGCTAAGAATCTAATTTCATATTAATATAAAAATTCAATAATTTGTGTATCATGCATGCTGATATACTTCATCATGACTTTGTATTGTTTTATTGCAGAGTTGTACCAATTAATTCATGATGCATAAGACAAATATGCCAAACTAAAAATTTGACACTGGTTGGTAGAGGACTAACCAATGGCTGCATGCGCTTCTTTCCAATAGGGTACTGATATGGGTTTGGTGTTTGCATAGTAAATGCAGTAAACCACAGGATGAAGCCAGATAGAAGATCAAGAAGAGAGTCTAATGTGGATGCAATAATGGCTAATGAACCACTTCTGATGGATGCGTAAACCTTAGCAGCAAAGAGAATCATATTAGCAACATTTGATATTCTAATAGCAAAGGTCTCACTTCTAGCCAAATTTTCCTGCTCTTCCTGCAACCATATTCAACAAACGTTTCAGTCCAAGGACTTAGGGCATGCATCAATCACATTGCAGCGAAAACAAAGGGAAAGGAGAAAACATAACCTTTGACATTCCAGGAATAAAGCCACGCTCAGCTAAGGCATCCATTTCATTAAATCCCTCGAGCATTTCCACCTGCTGCTGATAGTATTCTGCTACATCATCTTCTGGACCTGAAGCCATCAAACAACATAAATGAGATGTAACTCATGCAGTCTCTTTTAATTGTAAGCATACCATTATACATTCAACAATCAAGTACCCCTGATGCAATTCATAGAGCCCCTGCATGTCTTATACACATTGAAAGTCAGAGTTAACTACACGTAACTAATAAAGCCAAATAATAAGTAAGGTTTGTTTTAATAATAAGTGTTAGGTTTGTTTTTTCTCCGGCTTTTCTTAATAAAGCCCAGAGTATTTTCATGATATCATAAAAAATAACCAGTATCTATCAACAAACTTAATATTCCATGAAAGAGGATAGGACAAGACAAACTCTTGTAAACAACACTGCTTAGCACTTAATCAATTCATTCCTCCATACCAAAGCTGAAAATTGTCCCGTAGGCATACGGGGAAGTTTACGACCTTCCAAACTCTAAAGCTGAAGCAAACTTACATATTATACTTTTAGCAAAACTAGTGATAACCCAGAATTAAGAAAGCAACTAGCTTTGCAATTCCCTCTTATGTGGTCAACTATACCATATAAAGTCAAAGCAAGTAAAATCAACTACACCCACTTCACACATTCTTTCAATTTTATTTGTGAACCAAATAAACACTCAAATACACAGAAATGATAAAACAACAAATAATGAAAATAAATACCCAAACAAGCAAAAAAGGAAAAATATATATATATATTAACCAAAAGCTAAAGGTAGAATATTTCCATTCAGTATTAAATTTTAAAATAAAATCAGACGCTAAGCAAATAAGTATTAAGGGTTATATTATATAATAATAATAATAATAATAATAATAACAATAATAAATAAATTATAATAGAATATATGTTTTTGTTTTTCTGGTAAGAAATTATTCAAAGAAGCGAAAAAGTAGTTGATATTACCTAAAACTCCGTAGCAATCATGGATTCCCCGAGGTGGCTTTTTCTCTTTGTGCTCCGCCGATAACTGATGCCCGTCGAAGTTTAGCCGCCATGACCCGTCACTGTCATTGTTGAGTGGTAACAGTGCAAGACCCTCATCGCTGTCGTGAGCCACCGTCTCAGCCATTATCAGGTCACTTAACAAAAAATTTGCAGATTTATGTAGCTCTCTGTTGCTTTTAAAATAGCAATAATGTGTTTTGTATAAAGTAAGGGGCAGATAGCGGAAATTTAATGGCAAGAGAAGGGTATTTTGGGGATTAAAAAAATTCAAGTCACAGGGACGTTATTAAAGTGGTTGGCATGAGAAGCGATTTTTTTTTAACCAGAGAAGCTAAAGAGCGAAACTGTAAGCGACACATAAATATTCTAAAAAAAGGAGAAAATGAAATATCCACATGGTAGCGTGTGATTGGTTGGAGCGTTCGCTCGTGGCTAGCTTGGTAGCCGAGTTGGGATTTCGTGTGGAGATTACACGTGTACAGATAGGAATTAGGAATTTAGGATTGCTTTAAAATGAAATGATTCGGGATTGATAATCTCACCCGTGACGTTGATTCTGTTTGGTGTTTGCCATGTAGGTCATTTTGTGTTTTTGTTTTTATGGGTCCCGTCTAGATTTAGGATCCGGTTACGATGCTAGAGAGCCTATTATAAGGAGTAGATGCGGTTTTAGATTTATCCTTCCCCTGTAAGGCTAGGACGGATCCAAGTGGCTGTGTTAAGGCAAGTGTCTCACTAGATTTTTACTCCATTCGTCTCGTGTGTATACACCTCATTTGACTTTCACATGAATTGTCGTTAAATTATAAATGTTTTCTTAAAATATCTGTTTATAATATTAAATGAATTATATAATTGTAAATATAAATATATATTAAATAAAATAATTTTAAAAAATTAAATAATAAATGATACTTTAAATGAGAAATAAAATTATATTTTAGAACAAATAAAAAAGAAAAGTGAATATATATATATATATGAGATGGAGAAAGTATATTTTATATGTGTGATTTTTCTCATTTTAATATGTGTGATTTCAATAATTTGAATCTTTTCCATTAAAATTTTACCTTTTTTCTTTCATTAAATTATTAATTTTATATATTATTCTCATTCACCAAATATTTTTGTATCTGTATCCAAGCGTAGGAAGATTTGTAACTACTTCTACGCAAGTGTAGAAGAAAAGATAATTACAGAAAGGATGCATCCTTAAATAAACTTATTTAGATTTCATTTAATCATTGTTTCAGAAAATAATTTATTTTTGAAAAATAACTTTTATGTATATATTTTTTGTTCCCTTCAAAAAATTTTATTTTAACCCTAGAGAGGTAAGATGGGATGACATGACTCTCTTCTTCCTTAATCAGAGGTTTCGAGTTCGGGTCCTGATATAGAGTTTCTTCAAATACTCGGAAAGTAGAGCTTATATAGGTCTGCTCGGCTTAAATTCAGATTAATCAGATCAGTGAATTTCGAATACATAATGATTAAAACCAAAAAAAAAAATTATTTTATATTTTTATATTACAATACTAAAAATTAGTGAAACAGTAAAAGTTTTTAACTTATGAAATTATAAAATATTTTGAATTAGAGACTACATATTTTAGAAATTTAATGTTTGATATGAGAAAAAAAGTAAAAATTTAATGTTTTGATATGAGAAAAAAGTAAAAAATAATATATATATATAGTTATAATATATATTAATAGTATATATATATTTTCATTGCTGATGGTCGATGATGATGGTTGTAACAGATGTGTATCGGTGATGGTCGGTAACGATGACCACCAATCATCCATAAATTAAAAATTATATTTTTATAAGTTTTTTCTCTTGCAAATATAAATTTATAAATGTTTGAAAAATATTTTCCTATTTTTTCTCCTTTAACAAAAGAAAACTATTCAAAATATCAGAAATTTTTATAAAATATTTTTTAGATAAGTTATTTCCAAAAAAAAAAAAAAAGAAAAATAATAGAGATTCTTTTTAGAGTTAAGAATAAGAAAAGTCAAGTATTATTCTCATATATCACTCAAATCTGCCAAATTTTTATCGTCCAATTTATGGTTCAAGGAAATTAAGAACTAATAATACATATTTTATCATCACTTTCTCCCGAACAAAAGAGGAAAAAAAGAGGAAATTTTTTTTTTTTTTTTTGAAATCTAGGAAATAAAATTTTTAATTTCTCTTCTGTTTCCTTTCCATGTGACAGTTGGAAAATCCCAATAGTTAAGAGATTTTGACTTTGACTAGTTAGGAATTTATGTTGAACTCCTATTCGAGTAAGTACTTGAAGTACCTGTAGGATTCCATGCATAGATAATATAGGAGTTTACCTTCTACATGGAAAATGATAACTTTGGTAATAGATTTTGTATTTTTTTTTTTTCTATTTTGGTATTTCCCTAAAAACTTTTATACCTGTCTATCTATTTATACTATATATAAATGCGGAAATAAAGGGGAATAATGAGATTTTCGATATCGCCCTCAATAAAATTTAGAATATCCTAAAATAACTTTAGTCATAGCTAATTCAAAATTTATATTTTATACTAATGAGTGTTGAATGAGTAGTTCGACACTCTTCTTCTTTAAGTGAGGTCGAGGGTTCAATCCTTATGGATCGCCCAAATACTCGCTGGAGATACTTTATCCCTTTTTGGACCGACCTGGTGAGAGCAGGATATAGTTCTAGTCCAGTGGCTCGAGATATCTGTTTTAAGACAAAAAAAAAATTATATTTTATTATTTGATTAGATATAATTTCTAAAAATTATTTTTAAATAAATAAATATATATAATAATATTTTAAAAAATAAATATATATAAAAAAGACAATATACTCTTTCTTTTTTAAGTATAGTTGTAAGGGAAAATATGGCTTTTATTTGGAGAGGATATAACTTTTTTATGTAATTTTTTATTATTTAATTAACTTATTTATTTATTTTAAATTTGCAACTTAGAACAATAAAGAAATAAAATACTTGAATAAACTCATTAACTGGCCAATATTAGATCCTAACATGATTTGCTTTGCAATTTTCATTTATTGACTTGGCTTTTTTTTATCCATCAAAATGAAAATTAATTATATTATAGCATTTTTCGGTGTTATTTTTTAAATTGAAATTGATAATTTTTTAATATAATTTCTTTCTTGTTATATTTGAGTTATTAAAAGAGTTTTATTATTACGAAAAATTTATTATTTGTTATTTACTTTTTTGTTATTGAATTAATTTGTAACCACTATCACTTTAACTTAGTAAAATATTTATATATCCCTTGCAATAAATAGATGATCTCTTGATTAAGTATTTTTAATTTTCTTAATATTTTTTCTTTTATATCATAAATAGTTCTATGTTTATTCTCAAAAAAATATATATATGTTTGACTTGAAAGAAAATCGTGTTTATGAAATTGAAAAAAATTAGAACTATATATTTCTGTTTTGGATCATTTTTGGGATTTCAAAAGTTTGTGTGTATATTCATATATTCCTTTCTCTAATGCATTGTGTAAGTAATACTATCACTATAGCCAAAATAATTACCATTATTAATTCAGATCATTTTCTCAATTCTTTTCTTTTACCTACTAGTAAAAAAAAATATTATTATTTTTCATTATAGTTGTATATAGATATTGATTTGGGATTGAGAGCAAGGATCAAGGATTTAGAGATAACTTTTTTTTTTTTTTTTTTTTTTTTTTTTTTTTTGCGCACCTATCAAAGGTTTTAAAGAAATCTGTATTATCAATTGAGACTGAAGGATTAGGTATAAGGATTGGATAAACTTTAATTTTGAGACACTTATTATATAAAATAGAATTCCCAAAAAAAATAGAATCAAGTACATAAGAAATAACGTTGGAAGCAACTTATACGTCAAAGTCTAATATAAATTAACCGATTGTATTTATTTTAATCTAAATAAAAAATTTATACTTTAATATTATATAGATAAAAAATTAAAAGAGTATACAAAATGAAAATATAACGAGCATTATCAACGTGCAACGCATGTCATAAAGAGACCAATACTATATATAAATGTGGAAATAAGGAGGAAAATAATGAGATTTCCGATAGCGCCCTTAATGAAATTTAGGTATCCTGGAATAACCTTAGTCATAATTAATTAGAAAAATACATTTTATTAGTTGATTGGATATATTAATAAAAATTATTTTTTATGTCAATCATGTGTGATCTGATTGTATTCTTACTTACATTAGGAGTGAGAGGTCTCGAGTTTGAGTTCTCTCAACCAAAAGTGTTTTCATCAATTTTGTGAGTTTAGGAGAGGGTTATTTCTTGTTATGTAACCCGCAGTATTATTTCAGTCCATTAGGCCTCCTAATTTTTTTTTAAATAAATACATATATATAATTAAACATTTCAAAATTTCAGTTTTATCTTAAAAACTAAATTTATTTTTTTAATAAATATATATGATAACGAAACATTTGAAAACATTTGAAATTTTTTTATTTTAATTTATTAATTATTTAATTATATTTTGATTATAATTTAAAATATTTCATTTAAGATATAAATAAAAAAGAAAATATATTTTTTAATAATCTTCTTTTTATATTTGTATGATTTGATTGGATATATTTTTAAAAAATAAAATTTCAAATATAACATATATAATATTTGATTTAGGAGAGAGATAAAAAAAAGAAAAAAAGTATATTATTTATTGATATTTTTTTTTTCTTTATGTTTGTAAGATTTGATTAGATATATTTTTTAAAAAGGTAAATTTCAAATAGAATTTACATAATTGAACTTGGGATAACAAACAGTTGAAAATTTTAATTTAAAAATATATATAATATTTATTGATATATTTATATATCTATAAGCATTGAAACGTTTTTTATTAGGTGAGTTTTGATTGAAAGAGTTTTATAGTTTTATTCTTAATAATATTTTTTTTCTTTTTCATTGAATAATTTGTAATTACTATCATTTTAATTTATTAAGAGATTTATATCACCCTTGCAATAAATAGATGGTCTATTGATGATTAAGCGTTTTTAATTTTCTTGATTTTTTGCACTTATATCCTAAATATATTTAACTTAAGAGAAAATAGTTTTTAGAAAATTGAAAAAAAAAAACAAGTACTAAATATTCTGTTTGGGTCACTTTTTGAGGTTCCAAGAATTTGTGTATTTGTGCTTGTATTCATTTCTCTGATGCACTAGGTAAATAACACTGACTTTGTAGCCAAAATGATTTGCATTATCAATTCAAATCATCTTCTTATTTTTTTTTCTTTTACCTAGTAGTAA